AATTTGGGAAAAAGGAAAAAAGAAAGCAAATCTACCTTCTATGAGACGGATGGAGTAAATTGGTAAATTTTTTCTTATACGGCCACAATTTTCAAAACGGAGAATTACCATAATCACATCACAAAAATTTTACACATTAGAAAGAATCAACCAATTCTAAGAATTTCTAATTGGATCATGTCGAACAACCTTGCTGAAAATTATGGTGTAGCCATATGTTCAACTTTTTTAGAAGTTCATTATGGTGTAGTCATATGTTCGACTTTTTCAGAAGTTTCATCACACCCCTTGCATTAACGTCAAATTCCTCCACGCCACTGACATATTTTCTTTGGTCCACTCTGAATGATCCGACTCTCTAATATCACTTGTTGAAAATTAAGCCCAAGTCCTTGATTTATCCTCGTGATTTTTGTTCACAGACTTTATTTAGAAGCTAGTTAATATAAATATATGAGAATACAATACAAATGATTTACATAGAAAACTCTCAAACTAGAGAAAAATCACGGAATGTCAAAGATACATATATTCAAATATATGCAATTTTGTACAATCATATAGAATCTCTCACACAACCTAAACTCCCAAGCACACGCAAAATATTAACACTGAACAAGATAACGAAGGATCCCCAAATTTCACTTCCACAACAATCCACGACTATCTTACAAATTAGGATCAATAAATCACTAAAGGAAAGACTCTATTTATAGAATCATAATACGAAAACTTTTTAAATTTTTCTTTTGTTGATTTTGACAATTAACTAGATCTTTCTTAAGAAAAGGAAAACCTGTTAGGCTCGAGAAGAAGTACATCAAATTATATCATGATATTTATTTGCTTTTTATATGAAAATTCTGAAAGGCCATCAAGGGTTCGAATCCTGAAATATGGATTTGACCCTTGGGTAAGTGTAAGTGTATAAGCAGCCTTCCACCCTATACCCTTGAAGGCATAACATGCGATTTACCTCCTTCACCAAAACTCAGGGCATAGTAGGTGTTGGCCGCTAAGGATGCGGTTCATCCTTTTACTATTCTCTTGCTACCAGTTTGAGCTAACTTCACCTAACCAATTATATTATACATTATGACAATTCTCATGATCCTACATTTTCGTACCAAATAAGCAAGCATTTTTCTTGTATAAGTCACACAATCCCATTTAAGTCAATAGGCAAATTTGGATTCTCCGAGTTGGGGAGAAAATTTGCCAAAACCAAACTTGATCCACCCAATTAGTCGGCCGCTGTTGCACAAATGTGGTGTGTTCCCATCTCAAGTTAAGATATAGATAAATAAATACATCTTGTTGTACTAATCCGGAACGTTCATAGCAATCGAATGAGTCGAAAATCAACGAATGAGTTATTTATATCTAGCATTACGTATTCCTCGAGGGATCCACAACGGAATCATACTTTTTTTTTTTTTTTTATTGGAGTATTAAATTACTGCTAAGAATTATGTCTCTCCGTTTGATCTACATTATTATCTCATTAAAATGAAAAATATGACCGTTATTCATCACATCATTTAAATTCAAATTTTCTATATCTTATGTGGGCCCCAATAACGACTATATTTTTCATTCTCATTCTACAATAATTTGGCTCAAACAGAGCCTAAAAAATATTTATCTTCATACAAAATTATTTTTGTCGACAGCCAAAAAAAAAAATTCTAGCATACACCCGTTATAATTTCCAACTTTTATTAAAACTAGAATTACTGAATTAGCATAGGGAGACCAAAAAAATAATTGAAAAAATGATAATTGGAGTTTCGTGTAAGCAAAATACAATAGAACACATGCTGTCTCTGTTTGTAAAATAAATAATTAAATGGAAAGGAAAATAACCAAGGAAAAGAGGCTCACTTAATTGATATCTAAACATGAGGAATGATTTACTTAAAGTGATGATATGGCATATAGATTCATTAATAGAAAAGTTTATGATAAATTTCAATACTTGAATTAAATTTATTATTTACCAATTAATTGATGTGTAATATCATTGATGTTTGGCATAAACTAAGTACGGGTGCTTATTAAGGCTTCGTCTGGGAGGGATTCACATTTTCCCATAGAATTGATTATTATACCGTTTTTGTTGACTTTTTCTCACAACCCATACCAGCCGCAATTGTGGAAAATGGCCCGTTGATGGCTTCACCGGTAAGAAAATGCATTTTAATCTACTTTTAATTGTGCCCATACAGGGCCATAGTCTCTTGTTGCCCATCAAAATTCATATAT